TTCACAGACGGATCGGTTGACACAGAATATAAAAGTGCTGGCTCTGCTCTTTGCACGGCCAGCGTTCAGGCATACTGGAGACTGGGAGGACTTGTATCATCAACCCAAACTGAGCTGTTTGCCATACAACAGGCATTCGCATATGTGGCATACAAAACACTCAAAATGCAGTCATACACACTGACTCAAAAGTTGCACTTCAAATACTAGGACAAAAACAGTGGAAAGATAACGTGGAAATAATTATCACCATTTTGTATCTTGCAGCAGTCGCTAAAGGCAAAAGACTCAACATAACCTTAAAATGGATCCCATCCCATGTTGGAATCCTATTAAATGAGAGAGCCGATGAAATTGCTAAATTGGCAACTCGTCATCCAGTGATACATAAAACAATTCAACCCAGCCTAGAGAACATAAACAAACATCATCACCAAAAAACTCTCACATCTCAACAAAGCCTACCTGCACCAGAGAATAGCTGAAGGTTCGCCCTCTGCAATGTGGTATCTTCAGGCAACCGAATTAGAAAGGTTAAATATCCCAAAAGGAATCCACAGGGAAATAGCAGTTCGGTTATATAGACTACGTCTAGGTTACAGATGTAACTGAGAGGTTGGTGAACTTCGACAGAGAGAGTGCATCTTCTGCCAAACTGTCACAGAAACGCCATTATTTCACTATCTCCTGGAATATGAAGCAACCAGCAACCTTAGAAGAGCTTTAAGAGTCCCGGAATCTTGCAGTGGCCACCCTGAAGCCATCAACACTGTCACTCTTCTGGTCAAAAAAGGTGTCCAGCAGCTGGACACCCTCATAAAGACTGTCAAGCAGTATCCTCCCCCGCAATAACAGCTTGACGATTAAATGCAACCTCAGAATACTAAAAAGAATTACTGAACAGAAAATTATACCACTTACGGGCTATTCATGCCCGTGCCACCTCTTGGGTAGCTTAATCTTTATCAATCAATCAATGTTTTGGATACAGCACCGCTCCTGTGCCAGGTAAGTCCACTACGGGCACACCATAGCCCGTGATACTTGCCCCGCTCCTATGCCAAGTAAGTTACGGGCTCACTATAGCCCGTGATACTTGCCCCGCTCCTGTGCCAAGTAAGTTACGGCCTCACTCTAGCCCGTGATACTTGCCCCGCTCCTGTGCCAAGTAAGTTACGGCCTCACTAAAGCCCGTGATACTTGCCCCGCTCCTGTGCCAAATAAGTTACGGGCTCACTATAGCCCGTGATACTTGGAACTTGTTCCGAGTAGCTGAATCTATAACAACAGCAACAACATGTATTGGATATTTATAACACATGGAGTGGAGTGGGAACTGGAGGGAGGAATAGGGCAGTGGCCAGCCACCATGGGTTTGAACTTGGTGATAGTGTTCAGTGTCCTGGGGCCCGTGTGATGCTTCAAGGACACGTGTTCAGTGTCCTGGGGCCCGTGTGATGCCCCCAGGACACGTGTTCAGTGTCCTGGGTCTTGTGTGATGCCCCCAGGACACGTGTTCAGTGTCCTGGGTCTTGTGTGATGCCCCCAGGACACGTGTTCAGTGTCCTGGGTCTTGTGTGATGCCCCCAGGACACGTGTTCAGTGTCCTGGGTCTTGTGTGATGCCCCCAGGACACGTGTTAAGGCCCGTGTGATGCCTCGCACTGTATATTGTAGGAATTTTGGCAGTTATGATGCGTTTTATAAACGTAAGGGGTGGCGATGTTTGTGCTCTCTTCACCTAGGTATGGTTCTCCTCCTTACTCCGCCGGCCAGGTTGTCGTTGTCGAGTTCCTGTTATACTTGTGGGTGGTAGTTGCAGTAGTCGGGGTCATGGTGATCCTCGTGCAGTGTGGAAAAGTCGGTGCAGTATTGCATGGTGGCGGCGTCGACGTACCAGTAATCTGTGAAGTTTTCATCGTCCTCTTCTGTTAGCATAATGTTGTAGGGCAGCGTGTGGGTGTTTTATTGGGCAACCGCTCTCTCGCGGTCGCTAGCAATCTGTTCTCTTAAAATTAACGTCGCTTTTGGCCGTTTACCAGTATGGCCGAAAGTGGACGTAATTTGAAAATGAAAAAAAAAAATTAAAATAAATTTGGGATATTTTTTTCAACAACAGTAAGTTAAGGGTCCTCTGATAGATTAGGTGGGTAGGAAATTCTCATAAAGTTTCAAAACGTTATGAAAAACGTTTATTGAAAGTTTCCTCTTCTAACCTAACCGAGTAGGCCGGACGACTCAAATAGAAAACGGGACAGTACATCACTTTTGTGAGTCGATTTCATTTCAAATTACGTCCAAATTTGGCCATAGTGCACATACGAGCCAAAAGTGACGTTATTTTTAAGAGGACGGGTTGCGCTAATAGTGGGGATGACAATTTACCGGCAATATTTGTTTGTTTTTTAGAATATTGTCTATTTGGAGTTAAAGATTTCTTACGAGGAAAAATCATGACAAAAATTACCCATTTGGAGTTAAGGTTTCTTATGGGGAAAATTCGAAACAAAACTGTCCCATTTGGAGTTAAACATTTCTCACGGGGGAAAATTCGAGACAAAAATCATTTATTCGTTCTTAAAGGTTCCTTATGAGGGAAATTCAATTGTTTTTTTTCAGAGTTCAGTTTTATGAAAATATTTCAGAGTTCATATAATCATAGAAGTTTGTTAAAGAGTTTAAGATGAAATTTGTCAAAAGAATATTTTCAGAGAATATTATAATAGAAGTTTTGTTAAGGAAATTAGACATCTTATCAGTAACTTTTAGTTTTTATATCCATTTATGGCTGTTTCATCAGTAAAAGAACTAAATTATTCAGAGTCCAGTAGAACAAAGTTAATCAGAGTCCATTTGAAGACAGAAATTAGTCGGAGATCATTGAAAGACCGAAATTTGCCTTTAAAACTGCACATGGCGTATATATACACCATGAGTAACATGCCCCACGGTGCGCATGGCGTATATATATGTCATAGATTGCCAGGCACGATTCAAATGGCCGCGGCTACATGTGGTTCACATAAGCTTCCTCAGGGCTCTTATAAACAGACGCCATTTTTTTTTTAAATCGTGGGCAATATTCTCCGGTGTGAGAGCTACAGTACTGTTGGAGCAGCCAAGGTATGCAGCATGAGCGAACAGCATTGCTATTCAGCTTGTGACCACAGCATCGCCGAAAAATGTCAAAATAAATACATAACTGCTATTATTTAGCGATGACAGTATTACAGATGACCCCTGACTGTGATAAAAATGATCAGGATTGTGATAATAGAAGGATTGTTGTGATAATTAGCGCTGTGGGAGGAGTGATACTGAGGGAGGTGGGGAGATAGCAACGTTTACTGACTGTGTGGCCACCTGTTATTGTCTGTATTCACCATACCAGCTCAGTGGTTCTCTATGGTGAACACACATGTAGATACTTATATATAATGTGTGTTTAGTGTAATAACAGCAAAAGGATTATGTTGGGAGGAGCTATTTGGGTGACGGAGGTGGCGTCGTCTGCATGACTTATCTAGCTGTGTAGAGGGTGGCCACTATGCTCTTTGGGCACTCTACAAGCTTAGGTATACAGTTGCGGTGCATATAGCATGTAGATACTTATATAATGTGTGTATATAGTGTAATAACACTGCAAACAGTATTGTTGGGGAGAAAGTTTAGTGCGTGTGACCTTGAATGATGGAGGCAGCCGCCAGCTGACTGTGTGTAGCAACGTCTCTCAGTGCCTGAACTAACTATATCAGCTTAGTTTTACAGTTGTGGTGAACAAAACATGTAGATACTTATATATAACGTCTGTATATTGTAAATAAAATAAAAAACAGGATGGTGGGAGGAGAAAGTGGGCGAGTGAGGCATTGTTGAGGGAGTGGCAGCGAGTGGCTGGCTAGTGTGTGGTGGTCACTCCTCATTGCTTTTCGACTCACAATACCAACTTAGTGGTTCGTTATGGTGAACAAAGCATGCAGATACTTATATATAAGCATGCAGATACTTATATATAACCTGTGTATAGAGTGTAATATAAGCAAAACTATTTGTTTATTGTTTCATGAACATAATAATTGAATCACTAATATGCACACCATACTTTTGAGTATAGCGATTATTCTCCAATTTTATTATATAAATATATCACAATACACACTACTGAATAATATTACTGCAAAAAATATAAGAAAAAATCAATCAGAGACATTGAAATAATTAGGTAATAATATCTTTGTGGCAACTCCCACCTGTCAGCTCGGGTGACGCTGACCGGCTCTGACTACCGCTCTGTCAACGCTTTTTGCCTTTTGCCTTGCCGCTTTTTGCCAGACTTCCTCGGCGTATTGCGCCCAAAATAAGTCACCTATGATTTGTTTTTGTTTTTCCATGCTCAGGGAACACAAGTTAACATTTTTAGAAGACGAAATAATTTGTTGGACTTTTTTCTTGCACACATGGGTGTAAATCTCCTCAGGACCCCTCAGCACCTTAAAGGTTAGTCAAAGACCAGTTAAAGACCGATTTTCTTCAAATTCAAGTTAAAGACCGAAACTGTTCAAAGACCATATAAGACCAAAATGGACGGGAATTTGAAGCAAAAAAAGATACAAAAGATACAGAGTGCATAAACTGACATTTCTAACAAATATTCCTTTGAAATGCTAAACTACCCTAATTTTAACAAATAACCCTTGAAATGCTGAAACATCCATTTGAGAAATAGATACTTTAAAATAAACACACACCTATATATAACAAATTCTCTGAAATGCTTAAAACCCCTAACTCTAACAAATAACACTTGAAATGCATGAATGACCATTTGAGAAATTATCCCTAGAAACAAACGAATGAAAGGGGAGTCTCACCTAAGCTGCCGTGCGGTGTGGACGTGCTTGCTCCGGCAGTTTTGGGATAGTTGTCGTTTTCGCCGGCAGGGGATGTGGGTGTCTCTACCCTCCCTGCTGTTCCTGGTGGTGGCGACGTGGCATGTTTGCGATGGGCAGCCCTATTCCAGCTGTCGTGAGGAAAAAATCCATAGGATTGGAGTTTACTGGCAGTGCTGGTTACCCGCTGGTGGACTTGGTCTTGAGTGACATGCTCCAAGTCCCGGTCCAGGACGTATATGGTGTCGAGCTGGTCACTGCTCACCATGTCATCATCAAGTTTGTGGGTGAGGCAGTGTACCGTGATTTTCTTCGGAGGTACGAGGGGCGTAGTTTGCAGCTGCAGGACGGCACTGGGTCTGTGACCATTTCGGACCGTAGTGGTGCTGTGACATATGTCAGTGTCCATGGCACCCCATGAAGTTTCCTGAGCCTCTCCTCCGGCGTTTCTTCTAGAGGTACGGCTGCGTCGTGAGAGTGCGGTTGAACTCGCTATCGCCTGGCAAGTATTCGGGTGTGAAGACCAACATTCGGACCCTCGGGATGCGACTGAGGTCAGACATTCCGTCCTCTGTCCGGCTGTTAGGGTACTATGTGCGAGTGTTTTATGCTCGACAACCTCGTACTTGTTTCCAATGTGGCTTGTTGGGCATCAGGCTGCCGGGTGTACTGTTGATCAGGTCGCTCCCATGAATTTGTTCCGAGAAGAGGATTTCCCGCCACTCCCTCTGGAGAAGGACTCCGGGGGTGAAGAGGTGAGTGTCCCGTTCGCTGCTGAGGATCCCCCGGAGTCGCCCGTTGTTAACTCGATTGTCGCCAGCCCTCCTCTGGCTGTTGCGGTGCCGTCTGATGTTACACCTGCTCCTGTCTCTGGCCCTGCTGCTCCCGTGGGTCTTCCTGGTACTCCCTGTGGAGCGTCGTCATCTGCTTTCTCGTCTTCGGCTGCTGGACCTGGCCCTGCAGCCTCACCTCGGGTCCCCCCTGTGCTGGGTGCTGGGGTGGCTGCGGAGCCTCCTGCTGAGTGTGGTCCGGTTCCCTCTGTGGTAGAGGCTGCTGCCATTCTGCGTCGGGCTTCGGTTCGTCCGGCTAGTGGTGCCCATGTTTCTGGGTTCGCTTCCGGCTCTGACGATATATGGCCGGAGCCCAAGCATTCCAGACATTCGTCTACTGCCTGGGCCGATGTTGGGGACTTCAGTGACTGTGGGTCTTCAAGGGTTGAAGGCGTGGATCTGGATGCGTCGTTGTCTCCGCGGGTGGTGGTGGTGGAGGTTAATGTGCCTGCTGGTGCTGATGCCCGTGTCTTGGGTGTGCCTTCTGTTCCTTCCCCGCCAGGGGGCTCTCCGCAGTGGGGTGTGGTGGCTTCCGCTGCCAGGGATGGTGCGGATGCTGGTGCTGGGCGTGGCCTGGTAGTGACTTTACGAAAGGATGCGCGCCGCCCTGGTTCCCTGCATTCGTCTAGTGATCTGCCCGTGGCCGCTGGTGCCCCTGTGGTGGTGCCCTCTGAACGGCTCTCTCCTGTGGAGTTGCGACTTGAGACTCTGGAGGTCGTGGTTGCTGAGATCTTGCTGTCTGAACAGCCGGAGAGTTTTCTTGATGGGCGGGTTTCCGGTATATGGAGTAGGGTGGCGGTAACTCGCCTCTGGAGAAAGATTAGGTTATGTTAAGCTAAGTAAAGTTAGTAAGGTTAGCATAAATTAGATTATGTAAGTTAAGTTTTTATTAGTTTAGCTAGATTAGGTTAGGTTATGTAAGTTAAGTTAAATTTAGTTAAGTTACGTAAGGTTTTGTAAATTAGGTTAGGTAAGTTATGCTAAGTAAGTAAGGTTAGAATAGGTTAGGTTATGTAAGTTAAGTTTAGGTAAATTAGTAAGGTTAGGTTAGGTTAGATTATGTAAGTTAAGCTAGTAAGTTTAGGTTAGGTTATAAATGTTAAGTTAGTAAAGTTAGGTTATTTTAGGTTATGTAAGTTAAATTAGGTGAGGTGAGGTAAGTTATGTTCAGTTAGTAGGGATAGGATAGGTTAAGTTATGTAAGTTTAGTTGAGGTAGGTTAGGTTATGTAAGTTAGGTTAGGTTAGGTCAGGTAAGTTACATTAGGATAATTAGGTTAGGTAAGGTAAGTTATGTCAGCTTAGTTATGTAAGTTAGGTCATGTCGTTAAATAAGTTAAGTTATGTAGGGTTAGGTTATGAAATTAGGTTATTTCAGGCTTGGTATGTTATCTCAGATAGGGAGGAATAGGTAAGTTAGACTATGTAAGTTTAGGTTATGTTAGGTTAGGTTAGGTTATGTAAGTTAAGTTAGTAAGGTTAAGTTATGTAAGTTACATTTAGTTTAGTTTAGTTAGGTTATGTAATTTAGGTTAGGTTAGGTAAGTTATGTTAGCTAAGTAAGGTTAGGTATTTATGGGCAAGTTGGGTTGGGTAGATAAGTTTGGATAAGTTAAATTAGGATAGGCTTGTACAGTTAAGTTAGGTTAGGTAGGATTATGCAGTGATGTTCAGAGAACAGTTTTAAGGTAAAGTGGCTAAGAAAATATATTTTTACTGAATAGTTATTAACAGAAGTGTAAGTTTGATATGAAAAGTTGAACTAGTTACATAAGAAGTGGTGTTTTGTGACATTAAATGCTATTTACGAGTTTAACTGTAAATGTCTTAGTGAAAGGTGTTACCACATAAAAGATACCTGTTTTACTTATTTATTGAATGAAGAACAACGTTTGTTACATTTGGGAGTGTTATTTATTGCCTGAAGATGTCTTAGAGAACAACGTTGATGTCTTAGAAAACAACTTTGATAAACGAAGGAGAGTTAGAAAAAAACTTTGATAACGAAGGTGAATTAGATAATAACTTTGCTGACTGAGATTAACTTTAGATGGTTCTGAGAATAACGTTTTGATAGCTGAGAATAACTTTTGAGGACATGCGTCTTTGAGTGTGTTATTGATGTCTTTGGATGTGTTATTGATGTCTTTGGATGTGTTATTGATGTCTTTGGATGTGTTATTGATGTCTTTGGATGTGTTATTGATGTCTTTGGGTGTGTTATTGATGTCTTTGAGTGTGTTATTGATATCTTTGAGTATGCTATTAATGTCTTTGAGTGTGTTATTGATGTCTTTGAGTATGCTATTAATGTCTTTGAGTGTGTTATTGATGTCTTTGAGTGTGTTATTGATATCTTTGAGTATGCTATTAATGTCTTTGAGTGTGTTATTGATGTTTTAGGATGTGTTATTGATGTCTATGGATGTGTTATTGATGTCTTTGGGTGTGTTATTGATGTCTTTGAGTGTGTTATTGATGTCTTTGAGTGTGTTATTGATGTCTTTGAGTGTGTTATTGATGTCTTTGAGTGTGTTATTGGCATGTTTAAGTCTGTTATTGATGTCTTTGAGTGTGTTATTAATGTTTTTGAGTGTGTTATTTGCGTCTTTGAGTGTGTCCTTGATGTCTCGAAGAGTGTGTTTGACTATTTTTCTTACTCCATGACGTATTCTGTTCGTTACAAATGTGTTTAAAGTAGTTACATTTGACTATTGTTAGTTAAGAAGAAGAATAATTTGAGTTAAAGAAAGTGTTGAAAGAACTTATGCTTGACTATTTTTAGTTGAGAGAAATGCTATTTAAGTTAAGAAACGACAAGAAAACATGATGAATGCGACTATTTTTAGTTGATTTACGAATAATTTAATTAAGAAACGAGAAAAAGAATGTCTTAGTAAATTTGTTTAAGAACAGAATCTGTAAGAAATATTAAGTTGATAAAGAGAATTACATTGATGTAGTTTTGCAAATAAAACTGGGTGACTCACTAAATTTGTGGGGAGAAGTTTAATGCTGTTGATAATATCTGACAAAGAACTAGTTATTGAACAGAAGAAACAATTTGGTTTAAAATAAATAAAGAACATGAAAAGAGGAGAATATGTAAGGGAATGAACAGTGAACATGCAGGGAACATGATAAAGAACACAGAGAACATGTAAGAGAATGCATTGAACACGGTGAACTTGTGCTGAAAATGAACTAGCAGAGGACATGAATAATGACAAAGAAAATGGAGAAACAGGTGAAAAATATGATTTGAACTAGCAGAGAACATGGGGAATATAATAAACAGTGAATATGTAGAGAATATACAAATACAGTAAGATTATTGAAGTTTTTGATAAGTTGGAAAATGGGCAAGATGAAGGAGGAGTAGGGGGAGAGGGAGGGGAAGATAAGGGCAAAAGAGAGTTGGGGAAGGAATGGGAGGGAAGGTAAGGGGGGGTAAGGTAAAGGGTGTGGGAAGATAAGGGAGGGAAAAGGAAAGGTGTGATATGACCATGAGATTATTATTACTGAGTGAATGACTATTTACATAACTGAGTAAACAAAGGGTATTGAAGAACAGAATATGTTTACTTTGATAAGGTGATAGATTGGAGAACATCTTGATCTGAAATAATTAAGTTTACTGAACTAAGGTGGAGGACTGGAGTTTTAGCTCGGTAACTGCGTTTTCTTTACGTACTCTGCTAGAAATACTCTCCTAGGAACTGATTAAAATTTCAGGGAACTTGTTCAGGTATTAACAAAGATGCGAGAAGGGTTAAAGCAGGGAAAAGGAGCTAAAATTCTGTAACTAAATTATTGTATTTTACTATGTCTGAAATAGAGTGGTGTTAAATTTCAGGGAAATTGATTGGGTATTATCGAAGATAAGAGATGGGGTTAAGGTGGGGACAGGGGCTAGAGTTCGGTAATTGTTTTGATCTATTTGCTATGTCTGAAATACAGCGATTTTAAATTTCATGGGGATTGAGCTGTTAGCAAAGAAGTTACGAGAGTAAAGTAGGCTGGGGACGGGAGCTAGAACTGGTTTACTGAATTGATCTGGTTTACTACATTTGAAATATGACCCTTCACTTATAAATGCGGTCTCTGACAAATTTTGGTCTTAATCTGATCTCTGTTAAATTTTTACTCAACTAGACTCGGAAATTATTTTGTTTTATATGGACTCTGTCATATTTTTGTCCTTAAAATAGTCTATGCAAAATTTCAGCCTTAAAATGGTCTCTATCAAATTCGATCATCAATTGGGCTGTGACAATATTTTGGTCTAAAAATGGCCTCTGAAATTATTTCGGCCCTAATTGGGCAGTCATATTTTTGGTCTTTAAATGGACTCTGTCAAATTCCAGTCAATTTGGTCTTATATGGTCTTAGAACAATTTCAGTCTTTTACTGAATGTTGAAGAAATTCGGTCTTAAACTGGCCACTGACAAATTTCGGTCTTTCAATGATCTCTGACTCATTTCAGTCTTCAAATGGTCTCTGACTAATTTCGGTCTTCTACTGGACTCTGAATAATTTAGGTCTTTTACTGATGAAACAGTTGTAAATGGATATAAAAATTAAAAGTTACTGATAAGATGTCTAATTTCCTTAACAAAACTTCTATGATAATATTCTTTGAAAATTGTGTTTTGAAAAATTTCAGGATTAAACTCTTTAAGAAACTTCTATTATTATGTGAACTCTGAAATATTTTTGTTAAACTAAACTCGGAAAAAAAATGAATTTCCCTCATCAGAAACCTTTAAGAACGAATGTGTGAATTTTGGCTCGAATTTTCCAATAAGAAACATGTAACTACAACTGGGCAACTTTTGTCTCGAATTTTCCACGTAAGAAACCTTTAACTCCAAATGGGAAACTTTTGACTTAAATTTTCCCTATAAGAAACCATTAACTCCAAATGGGAAACTTTTGTCTCGAATTTCTCCATAAGAAAACTTTAACTCCAAATGGGAAACTTTTGTCTCGAATTTCTCCATAAGAAACGTTATGGTGTGGTATAATCAGTGACAACATTTTTCCGAATTTCCCCCATAACTTTAACCTTTAACTCTACAGCGGCAATATTCTAAAAAAATATTGGCGCTATGTTGTCATCCCAACTACTGTCGCTGGGTAGAACGTAAGGCTTTGGCATAGCTGTGTGTGTGGGTGTTGTAGTGTGCAGTCCCTCTCTCTAGCGGTCGCTATGTAGAGCGTTTGGCATAGGCGTAGCTCTGTGTGGTGTTGTAGTGTGCAGTCCCTCTCTCTAGCGGTCGCTATGTAGAGCGTTTGGCATAGGCGTAGCTCTGTGTGGTGTTGTAGTGTGCGGTCCCTCTCTCTAGCGGTCGCTATGTAGAGCGTTTGGCATAGGCGTAGCTCTGTGTGGTGTTGTAGTTGTTGGGTGTACTGTAGAATGCCCACGGCACCCTCATACACTGGTCCTGGTGATGGTCACGGCACCCTCATACACTGGTCCTGGTGATGGTCACGGCACCCTCATACACTGGTCCTGGTGATGGTCACGGCACCCTCATACACTGGTCCTGGTGATGGTCACGGCACCCTCATACACTGGTCTTGGTGATGGTCACGGCACCCTCATACACTGATCTTGGTGATGGTCACGGCACCCTCACTGATCACACGGCACCCTGGTCCTGGTGATGGTCACGGCACCCTCATACACTGGTCTTGGTGATGGTCACGGCACCCTCATACACTGATCTTGGTGATGGTCACGGCACCCTCATACACTGGTCTTGGTGATGGTCACGGCACCCTCATACACTGGTCTTGGTGATGGTCACGGCACCCTCATACACTGGTCTTGGTGATGGTCACGGCACCCTCATACACTGGTCCTGGTGATGGTCACGGCACCCTCATACACTGGTCTTGGTGATGGTCACGGCACCCTCATACACTGGTCTTGGTGATGGTCACGGCACCCTCATACACTGGTCTTGGTGATGATGGTCACGGCACCCTCATACACTGGTCTTGGTGATGGTCACGGCACCCTCATACACTGGTCCTGGTGATGGTCACGGCACCCTCATACACTGGTCTGGTGATGGTCACGGCACCCTCATACACTGATGGTCACGGCACCCTCATACACTGGTCCTGGTGATGGTCACGGCACCCTCATACACTGGTCTTGGTGATGGTCACGGCACCCTCATACACTGGTCCTGGTGATGGTCACGGCACCCTCATACACTGGTCCTGGTGATGGTCACGGCACCCTCATACACTGGTCCTGGTGATGGTCACGGCACCCTCATACACTGGTCACGGCACCCTCATGGTGATGGTCACGGCACCCTCATACACTGGTCTTGGTGATGGTCACGGCACCCTCATACACTGATCTTGGTGATGGTCACGGCACCCTCACACTGGTCCTGGTGACACTGGTCCTGGTGATGGTCACGGCACCCTCATACACTGGTCTTGGTGATGGTCACGGCACCCTCACGGCACCCTCATACACTGGTGGTCACGGCACCCTCATACACTGGTCTTGGTGATGGTCACGGCACCCTCATACACTGGATGGATGGTCACGGCACCCTCATACACTGGTCTTGGTGATGGTCACGGCATGGTCCTCATACACTGGGTGATGATCACGGCACCCTCATACACTGGTCTTGGTGATGGTCACGGCACCCTCATACACTGGTCTTGGTGACGGCATCCTCATACACTGGTCTTGGTGATGGTCACGGCACCGGCACCCTCATACACTGGTCCTGGTGATGGTCACGGCACCCTCATACACTGGAGGACGTCCTGGTGATGGTCACGGCACCCTCATACACTGGTCCTGGTGATGGTCACGGCACCCTCATACACTGGTCCTGGTGATGGTCACGGCACCCTCATACACTGGTCCTGGTGATGGTCACGGCACCCTCATACACTGGTCCTGGTGATGGTCACGGCACCCTCATACACTGGTCCTGGTGATGGTCACGGCACCCTCATACACTGGTCCTGGTGATGGTCACGGCACCCTCATACACTGGTCCTGGTGATGGTCACGGCACCCTCAGACACTGGTCCTGGTGATGGTCACGGCACCCTCATACACTGGTCTTGGTGATGGTCATGGCAGCCTCAGACACTGGTCCTGGTGATGGTCACGGCACCCTCATACACTGGAGGACGTCCTGGTGATGGTCATGGTCACGGCACCCTCACGGCACCCTTATACACTGACACGGCACCCTCATACACTGGTCCTGGTGATGGTCACGGCACCCTCATACACTGGTCCTGGTGATGGTCACGGCACCCTCATACACTGGTCCTGGTGGTGACACAGGCCCCTCATACACTGGTCCTGGTGATGGTCACGGCACCCTCATACACTGGTCCTGGTGATGGTCACGGCACCCTCAGACACTGGTCCTGGTGATGGTCATGGCAGCCTCAGACACTGGTCCTCACGGCACATACACTGGTCCTGGTGATGGTCACGGCACCCTCAGACACTGGTCCTGGTGATGGTCACGGCACCCTCAGACACTGGTCCTGGTGATGGTCATGGCAGCCTCAGACACTGGTCCTGGTGATGGTCACGGCAGCCTCAGACACTGGTCCTGGTGATGGTCACGACAGCCTCAGACACTGGTCTTGGTGATGGTCACGGCACCCTCAGACACTGGTCCTGGTGATGGTCATGGCAGCCTCAGACACTGGTCCAGGTGATGGTCACGACAGCCTCAGACACTGGTCTTGGTGATGGTCACGACAGCCTCAGACACTGGTCTTGGTGATGGTCACGACAGCCTCAGACACTGGTCTTGGTGATGGTCATGGCAGCCTCAGACACTGGTCTTGGTGATGGTCATGGCAGCCTCAGACACTGGTCCTGGTGATGGTCACGACAGCCTCAGACACTGGTCCTGGTGATGGTCACGGCACCCTCAGACACTGGTCCTGGTGATGGTCATGGCAGCCTCAGACACTGATCCTGGTGATGGTCACGACAGCCTCAGACACTGGTCCTGGTGATGGTCACGGCAGCCTCAGACACTGGTCCTGGTGATGGTCACGACAGCCTCAGATATGGATGAAGATGAGGAGTTACTCGGCCTGGTGCACGTCTGCAGGATCAGCAACAACTGCAGCCAACATCGACAATAGGTTTGCTCACCAAGTTGTGCTTGCGCGGGTGAAGCTCTGGACCTAGATTCACGGAGCTCCATGTATTTCTTCGTAAGTAGGTTTGCTACGAAGGTTCCTAAGTGTCGGTTAAGAATGCGCCAAAGAGCGATTCAGAGAAGTAAACTTACGAAGATTTTTAAGTAGTTCACTTAGGTCTCGCTAGATGTCACGAGGCTTTTAGTTTGGCCAATCAGAGAGAAGGTAACATTTTTCATCTTACAGCTGTAGCCAATCATGACGCCGCCATATCGGAGC